CATATCACAGCACATCACGAGTCTGTGTCTGTCTTGTTCTGACCAAAAGAGCAGCTCCACTCCCAGGGGCTGCCACAGCCGGCCACAGTTTGGCTGCAGGAGGTGGGGTTGGGAACCTAGCTGCTTAGCTCTGCAGAGTTGAAAACCCTAGGGACCTTGTCCACTGACCAACCTCTCCAGACTGATAGGCTGGTCAGCCCTAAAAGTTCATTTCCACATGCTTATAAAATACTTGTAATTAAGTGGGTCAGCAGACTGCAGGACCCAGATAGCCTCTGTTTAAAGCCTTGATCTGCGAAACCCATGTAGACTGTCTCAAACTGTTAGATACTCTCAAACTGGGAACTCAGTAAAAATACCTCCTGTCCCTTCACGTGTCTGTCCCTGAATCTCTCATTGCCACATCATGTTTCTGCACTTCTCCCTTCTGCCCACATTCCTTGTTTGCAGCTTCCTCTAGGCCCCAGGTAGTGTGTGTTGCATACTGCTCAGGTGGGTAATTGTGCCCAGGTATTCTGTACCAGGACACATCTGTTCAGTCCTATCTGCAGTGTGCAAGTGATTGGCCTTCTTTTCGCCTACCTCCCCCATCTAAATCAGCGGAGGGAAGAGATTTTCCTTGTTGTGAAACATACTAACTGCAGGTGCACAGGTTTTCAGTATCTTGCTTGGTGGATTATACAGAGGAAGCTCCAGTCACACAACCACTACTTAAAGTCAGGTGCAAAAACTGTTGCAGGCACCCAGACATCTCCTTCATGTCCCCCAGTTGTCCCTGAGACCAGGTGGTCCTGCCTGCCTTCCGACCCCATGGATGGGTCCTGTTTATCTTTGGTCATTGTATAAAAGACTGAGTGATATATGCTGTCTTGGCTGAGACCTCCCTGCTACCTGAGGAGCAGGGGCTTTTGGCCATTTGCTACTGCATACTGCTCCAGGAGAGGAACACCATTGAAAGACATGCAGTGGCTTCAGGCTCCAGGCAATGAGGACTGCCAATTTAGCTAAATAGTAGGGTGCTTGAAAAGGAAGCTAGGCATATGAGAGACTGTGGGTTCCATCCCCAGCACCACACACATAAAATATTCCACACTATGGACCTCACTGTATTACTTCATGGTCCATGGTATTGGCATACTGGTGGGGGTGGCACTGTTACCAGACTTAGAGTCATAGCCTGTGTCTGAACAAGACAAGTTCCACCACCGTCCTCAGTAAGTCAATTAAAAGAGCTAAATTAATAGTGAAAAGCAGAAAAAGATTTATTCAGTGTGCCCACATTGGGAGAGGGACAAAGATATCCAGTGATATCCCTAGCAAGTCCTGTTTGGTTTTTTTTTTTTGTTTATTTGTTTGTTTGTTTTTGTCTTTTTGAGACAGGGTCTCCCTGTAGCCCCATCTGGCCTCACTTTGTAGACCAGGGTGGCCTCAAACTCATAGAGATCCACCTGCCTCTGCCTCCTGAGTGCTGGGATTACAGGCATGTGCCACCAAGCTCCAGCTCACAAGTCCTGTTTTAAATATTGAAGATTCTTTCCAGGTTCAGTGGAGAGGTGCACTGAGATGGATTTCAGGTGATCAGAGGCTTCAATAATGCCAGCCATTCATAGCAGGGGAAGCTGTAATATGGTAGAAATCCAACAGCAACCCACAGAACAAAGGAAAATCCTTTTATTTGTAGACTTTAGAGGAGAAAGATCTCTAAATTTAGTAGATTAGTGAAGGTACTAAATAGGATTTATGCCAAGAGCTTAGCAGTTTAGGAAAGATACTAGATGGCCTGGCTGATCCCCTTAACTGGGTCAGCCTCTTTGATCTAACAAGTCTGTGTTCAGGGTCCCAACATGATAGAAGGTGAGCAGTGTAACTAAGCAGTCCAGCCAAGGTGTAGCCTCTGCCTGCTGTTGTCTCAGCTTCAGTGTCACCTGCGTGTCAGCTTCTCCTGTCTGTCAGTCTCTCCTGCCTGTCAGTCAGTCTCTCCTGCAGTCATCTGACAAGTTGTAAATCTGTAGTAGAAAGATGGTTCCTCCTCTGGTTGTCCCCAAGACTTCAGCCTTTAATTTTTTTTTTTTTTTATCCTTTTTGAGACAGAGTCTACCTTGTAGCCCCAGCTGTCCTGGAACTCGCTATGTAGACCAGGCTGGCCTTGAACTCACAGAGATCCACCTGCCTCTGCCCCCTGAGTGCTGGGATTAAAGGCATGCGCCACAATGCCCAGCCAGCCTTTAATTTTTAATGAGCAGGAGATTCCTGGAAGACTTCAGTTTCCTGGGGTGCCTTGTTTGAACCATCTGGATAGTCAGAGTGAGGGACACAAGTGTTTCTTTAGAATAACATCATTCTTTCCAAACATGCTGATTACAGTGCAGCATAGCATGATCAAACCAGGGTTCTAGAGTCTTTTTTTGAGACAAAGTCTCATGTGTTCCAGGCTGGTCTTGAATTTATTAAGTAGCTGAGGATGACCTTGAACTTCTGATCTTCCTGCCACTGTTTCCTAGTGGTAGAAATCCAAGTATGCACTACCTCTCAAGTATGTGAAGATTCCTTTGTTTTAGTTTTTCATTACTATACAGCCCAAACAAAGCAGACTAACTTTATGAAGAAAACAGGCTTGTTTGGCTCATAATTTTAGGTGCTGGAAGTCCAAACACCATGGTTCAGACTCTGGCCAGGGCCCTCTCCTTGGCTATATCACAGATGGCAGATGGTGGCAATTGGATCATGTATGGGAGCAGCCAACAGGAAGCCAGGGGAGGGATGGCTCTTATAATAACTTGCTCTCTCAAGAGCTCAGGGCTCTCATACAGGTTATGGGCTACTGTAATCCCTTCCAAGAGCAGTACCCTCATTGACCTAAGGTCCTCCCTCTTGGTCCAACCTCTTAAAGGATTTACCATGCCTTACCACCACCACATGGGAGGGCCCTGAGTTTGGGACCCACTCAAACCATATCCAAACCATAGTATCTGTGAATAGCCAAGAAAGAGACTGGCTTTTCAGACACCAGAGCTTGAAATGGAGAAATGGAGTGAGGGTCATTGCTACAGTGCTGAAGCCTGGTAATCCTGCCAGGCCTGAGGGAGTAAGAGTCTGGGATGTGATGAGGCTAGATGGTTTAGCTGACCACCTGGGGAGGATTGGCTTTGCATTTGGGAGGTCCAGTTACACCCCTGCCTTACACCATCCAAACAGGCAGACAAGACCTATCCAAGAGCTAAGCCCACAGGTGGCCATACAAGGAAGCCAGGAAAGAGGTGTTCTCATTTTGTGATAGGGAGGGACTTATTAGAAAGACAGGGACACAAACCCTGTATAGTAAAGATGGAAAAATTTAGCCAGGTATAGTAAAGATGGGAAATTCTAGCTAGGTGTGGCAAATACCTGTAATCCCAGGACTCATGAAGTCAAGGCAGAAGGGTCAGGAGTTCAAAGTCAACTTCAGCTATATAGTGAGTTTGAGGATATTATAACTTAGGATACAGGCCTGTAGAAAGGAGATGACACAAATTATCCTTGAGAAGGACTTTGTTAAGAGATGGGGTCCTGAAGGGTAGGCCTTCAAGTCTGAAGAGGAGCTTCATTGGGAGAGCCATATATAGCGTAACAGAGGACCTAAAGGGAAAAACACACCTTTCTGTCCTAGAATATCAAGAGAGATAGAGCATGGCTGTAGGCAGAGGAGGCAGACACTAGATAGGGCTATAGTTCAAAGGTGCCTTGATCTTGAGCACCGGGATGGAGAGAGGCTGGGCTTGCTTTTTCCAAAGAGGCCTGCATGCTCTGACAGTCAGAGCAGATACCTGTCAGTTCTTTGTCCTAAGGGACAGACCACAAGCCGGTGTACCTGGAAGAAAGAGAAAAGCAGTTAGAGGGTCTGTGATCTAACAGAGGCAAGTTTGGGCTACGTGAGTTCCTATGTAAGAAAGCAGAGGGTGGCAGGGATATTGAGAGAGTGATTTTGAAAATCTTGCTGTGATTTAAGACTTTGCTAGGCAGTTCCACAAGGTCTGGAGCACAAAGGCCTAGAAATCAATACCCAGTGCTAGGGATTCATGGGCAAGGACAACAGTCACAAGGTACTCTGCCACTAGGGGAATTTAACACAGCTGTGGCAAGAGTAATTCCTGCACCATATGCCTAGTGTCAGATTTTAGTGCTAGATGTTTGAGGGGAATTAGCTAGGTTTGCACATAGGATACAATTTATGTATGTGTGCCCACACTTGTGTGTAGGTTGGGTATGTACAAACCATCCTGTGTGGGTAAGGGTATGTACACATGCCTGTGTGTGGATGGGGGTGTATACATGTGCCCGTGTATGGATAGGAGTGTGTACATATACCTGTATATGGATCAGGAAGCTCTGACCACATACAGCATCTAGATGGGCTTCTGTATGACATGTTAGAAATGTTCCCAGCAAGAATTTGCTCCTGGGCAGTCCAGACAGTGGGAGACACACCACTAGCCTGGTTGTCCCTGTGGATGGTTATGGCAACAGAAGACATGAAATGAAGTCTTGGCCTGTGGCATGGAGAAGATGGAGTAGACTGACAGGCAGGTAGCAGACATAAGAGGACAGGTCTCATGCAAACACTGCAGCTGCTGGTGCTACAGTGTGGGATGGGAGCCTGCAAGGCCAGTTTGTGATGCCCAGTAGATGCCCTAAGGAGGGCGCCAGTATATCTCTCTAGGCTCAACCATGCTCCATTTCCCCCAGGGCCTGTCAGTGATATTAGTGCTCTGTCAGTGTTGGTCTCTAGCATTGGCCCCATCCTTCAGGGTATCAGGCTGAGTTTTTACATTGCTCCTGCCAGAGTGATAGCAGCGTTTACTATATGACACAGACCCAAGTCTTTGATCAGGCCTGTCTGTCACCTGCCTGTGTCATTTTCTTTTTTTTTTTTTTTAAACAAGTGTGTGTGTTAAGTAGGCTGACCTGCCTGGAGAGAGTGCCATACAATTGTATTGTTTGAGTCATTCCTTTGGCCACATACATGCGAATCTACAAGAAGGGTGATATTATAGACATTAAGGGAATGGGTACTGTTCAAAAAGGAATGCCTCATAAATGCTGCCATGGCAAAACTAGGAGAGTCTACAACGTCACTCAGCATGCTGTTGGCATTGTTGTAAACAAGCAAGTTAAGGGCAAGAGTCTTGCCAAGAGAATTAATGTGTGTATTGAGTGTATTAAGCACTCTAAGAGGCGAGACAGCTTCCTGAAGCGCCTGAAGGAAAATGACCAGAAAAAAAAGGAAGCCAAAGAGAAAGGACCCTGGGTTCATCAGTTGAAGCACCAGCCTGCCCCACCCAGAGAAGCACACTTTATGAGAACTAACAGAAAGGAACCTGAGCTGCTGGAGTCCGTTCCCTGTGAGTTCATGGCTTAATGTATGAGAAGAAATAAAAGCCCTAGACGTGATAGTGTTTTCTTAAAAAAAACAAACAACAACAACAAAAGAGAGAGAGAGAGAGAGAGAGAGAGAGAGAGAGAGAGAGGGAGAGAGGTGTGGGACACCCTCAGAGGCCAGAAGAGGGCATCAGACCTATAGGCAGTTGTGAGCTGCCTAATATGGGTGCTAAGAACTGAATTTGGTTCCTCTGCAGGAGCAGTAAATGTTCTTAACTACTGAGTCATCCATCTTTCCAGCCCCCTTACGTTTTTATTATATTGTATTTACTTATTCTACATATTGGGTGCACATCCCACAATGAGTGTGGTCAGAGTACAGCTTGCAGAAATTGGTTCTCCCTCTACCATGTGGATGCCAGGCATCAAACTCTGGTCATAGGCCTGGCAGCAAGTGCCTCTACCCACTGAGCCATCTTGCTGGTTCTGTGTTGTTTTCTTGACCAGCTCTTTAGGCAATGAAAGAGATTATTGTCATCTTTCTTAGAGAGGGGATTCAGCTTCTTTGTACTTGGCCTCAGGAATGAAAGTCCTTCTGGTTCCACTGAGAACTCAAGAGAAAAAGGAAGGTGCCTCAGCTGGAGAAGGGACTGCAGGAGGGGTGGAGGAAGTATTCAGTGGGCAAAGGACAGTGCACACTGGGAGAGGGCTCAAAAGCATTATTAGTAGATGCACCGGGAATGCCTGGAGAGCTCTGTCCCTCCTAGCAAGCTCTGTGTGGAAAATAACTCAAGCCAAATGCAAGACGTTTGTTTGTGTTTTGCAGAATTGCCTGCTTGTTAGGCCCAGGGAATCTGAGCCGTGATTTCGGAAGACTTCTACTGGCATCCTTAGAGGACAAGAAGCCCTGTCCTACAGGGTGAAGAGAATTCCCCTTCTGTTCACATCTTGCACATCTTTTTTGGTGTGGTCTAGGTGTGCTGAGGGACACCAGGTGTGTATGGGAAGCACTGGGAGTTTTCCTTCAGGCAGTGACTGTGCCATGTCCCTGAGGGACACTGTCAGCCCTTGTGGAGGTTCAGTACTAGTGACTGAAGTTCTGTCCTGGTGCCCCTACCTCTTGTCTCCCTGGCATGGTCAGCAGAAGCAGGGCCTGGTCCCACCAGGTTCCATGTGGTGTTATTCCTGGGCCTCACCTAATAGAGACCACACATGTCCTCTGAGCATTTGTTCTAGAGGGGGTTGGGCCCTGCAGAAAGTGAAGGAGCCTAGCCTAGAACCTGTTTGCCAAAGCCAGCCATGGCCCTGGTAATGTGGCTGGAGACAGGGAAGCACTGTGGCTAATGGCAGCTCACAAAGAGCTGGGATATCCATTTAGGGTTAGTGTTGACTGTCACAGGGCACTGAGATCTTCCTTTGTTATCTTTTCTACATATAAGAACCTTGACTTTCTTCAGACATGGACAGAGTCACATAGCATAGAAGTCCATCCATCCATTGTGCATTGACCAGCCTTCTATATACCCTGAAAAGCAAGCAGCTCTGCAGAAGCAGGACACACAAACACATATCTTTTAGACGTTACCCCAGGACTCTGGTCAAGGAAGAGTTCCCATGTAGGCAACAGGGGTAGATGTGCTTTTTGTATGACCACTTCGACTTAAACATGGAATGCTTCCAACTTCTGCTTAGGTATTCTGGTTTTCTCCAAAAACATTAAAAGTGAAAATTAAACATGAATAAAGTGTGGGACTGTACCTTGTAATACTCAGCTTTTATAGTTTGACTTTAAAATGTCTCCCATAGGCTCATGTTTTGCTTGTTTTCCTGCAGGTGGCACAATTTTGGGAAGGCTGTGGAACCTTTAGGAGGTGGGGTCTAGTTGGTGGAAGGAGGTCACTAGGGATGGGCCTTTGAAGGTCATACCTAGCTCCTGATTCCAGATACTCTCTGCTTCCTGTCCTGTATGATGTAAGGCACCTTTGCTCCTTGCTCCAGTCATGATCTTCATTATACCTTCCTTTCCATGGTGGTCTGAAACCACGAGCCAAAATCTTTTCTCCTCAAGGTGTTTCTGTCAGGTATTATGAAAAAAAAAAAAAAAAGTAACTTATACAGAAAATTGGTACCAGAAAGGTCATTGTTGCTAAACTTTACAATATGGTTTTTAGGGCTTTGTAACTGTCTACAAGTTGGATTTAGAAATTTGGAGATGTGGGCTCGGTAGAGAAACCCTAAATACTATAAGCTTCACTTAATGAGCAGTTCTGGTAGAGTCCAGTAGACCAGAATGCTGATAGAATGCAGATAGTAAAGACTGCTCATGAGGCTTCAGACCCAAACAGAGACTGCACTGGGAGTTAGGCCATTTGCGTTACATTCTGGCAAATAATTTGTCTACATTCTGCTAGTGTCCTGAATATCTGAGTGAGGCAGAATTCAAACTACTAGACTAATCAATTGTCAGAGGAAATTTAACCAGGTTTGTGGTGAGAACCAGGAGCAAAAAGTAGAATAGATGTGAAAAAACACAGACTGATCAGGAAAGGAATATGAAGGTGCTTAAAAGTAGATACGAAGCTAGTGCAGACAGAATGGCCATAGCTGTTAGAAAGGTTGGCATCATTAAAGACAAACCACACAATTGGGTACTGGGACAGTAGGATAAATGCCTTGAGGGCATTACAGGAAGTGGTAGGAACTTACCCATCAAAGCCTCTTAGTATAAAACTGAAAACTCATTTGAAAGATTTTCATTTGAAAAGAGAGTGCTGCCAGGCTGTCCTGCTGGAAAAGGGCTGCTAGAGAAGAAAGTGGGAGTTCTTTCTTGTTGCTTCTGTTGTTTTGACTTACTTGTTTTTATTTTATGTGTATGAGTGTTTTGCCTACATGCATGTAAGTGCACTCATATATGCAGTGCCTGCAGAGGCCAGAAAAAGGTATTGGGTCCCCCTGGAACTGGAGTTAAGGATGGTTGTTAGCTGCCATGTGGGTGTTGAAAACAGAACCCAGGTCCTCTGAAAGAGCAGGTAGTTCTCCTAACTGCTGAACTATCTCTCCAGCCCTGTTTGTTTTTTTGATTCAGCCATGAAAGCATTTGGAGGCTGCTACAACCAACATCCAGTAGGATCTGGCTATTTCTCAAGCTGGTAGCATAACTCATCATTGTCTACATGGTGTTGAGTTTGCAGGTGTGCAGAATGCAAGAATTACAGGGTCATGGAGGCTTGCTCCTAGTTTTTAAAGGAAAGCCTATGAAGGCCAGGCAGTGCATAGCAGGGGAAGGTTTCCTGAGGAGGTTCTCTTGGTACTTGATGTTTGATGCTATAAGGGTGAAGAATACATTGTAATCTCCAGAATGTTGGAGAAGCCAGGAATGTGAAATGTCTACTGAGGGCAGAATCTGGCAGCAGTGAGTGGAGCCAGCCCACGTGCATTACAGGCAAAAGGGCTATCCAAGCTTATTGGAGCATATATCACAACACCTCATGTCCTGGGTGCTAGACCTGGAGCTACAGGATTTAATATTTTCTCTGGTGGGTTTCAGTCTTGCTTTGTTCTAGTCTTTCCTTGTTGTTCTCACATTCCTCCCTTTTGGAATGGGAATGTTTGCTGTGTGCCATTATAGATTGGAAGTATGACCTTTTTGATTTTTTTTTTCTTTTTGAGACAGGGTCTCCCTATAGCCCCAGATGTCCTGGATTCACCATGGAGACCAGGCTGGCCTTGAACTCACAGAGATTCGCCTGCCTCTACCTCCCGAGTGCTGGGATTAAAGGCGTGCACTACCACGCCCTGCAACCTTTTTGATTTTATAAGAGCAGATAGTTAAGAGTTTATGTTGAGTCTCAGAAGAAACTTTGAATTTTTCAAGTGTTGAAAGTATGGAATTGTTAAAACTATGGAGACTCTTGTAGCTAAACTAAATGTATTTTATATGAAATGGCCACAAGACTTTGGAGGCTGGGGCATAATCTGGTTTAGATCTGAATGGCCGCACAGGTTCATGTTTGGAACACATGTTCCCTAGCTGGTGGTTCTGTCTTTGAAGGCTGTGGAGCCTTCAGGAGGTGGGACCTGGCTGGCAGAAGTAGGTCACTGGGGTGAGCCTTTGAAGGTCATACCCAGGGCTGGTTCTAACCCCACCCCCTCTATTTCCTGGTCTACTGCAATGTGAACTTCTGCCTTGGCCTATCATGGACAGAGCCATTCCATCATGCTTTTTCCTCTATGCTGAACTGAAACTGAGTCAAAATAAATCTTTCCTCCCTTAAGTACTTTCTATCAGGTATTTTGTCACAGTGACACAAAAATAACTTGTGTAACAGTCATACAAAAATTTCTTTTCCAGTACTCTATAGAGGGTCTTGGGTGGCCTCTATCCCCCAGGATGTTCCCTTCCCTGTCCCCCCCCCCAGGTACCTGGGGTGACCAACTATGTAGGGTGATTAAGTTTGGGTCTGGCCAGTCAGATAGCTCATGATCAGGTGTAAGAGCTTTCTGGCTCTGTGGGAGCTTCAAGGATGATGTCTTGCTGGAGCAAAGAGGCAGCTGTGATTGGGCTCAGTGGACCGGACTGCAGAAATGGCCTGCATGGAATAGAGCCTCATGGGCCTTAGGGTCCAGCCCTTCTTGAGGAGTGTGGTGAATCTAGCAGTTTCCAAGAGCAAGAAGGAAGTGAGAGGGTTGACAGTGGCATCACAAGGCAGAAGCCTCTGTGTGGCCTTAGACCAGTGTTCTCTCCTCTCTGACCTTCTGTGCCATCACCTCCTGTAAGGCCACAGTACAAATGTTGGTGAAGAGACCCCAAGATCATCTTCACCCAAGTGATTCACTAGGAGGATTCAGAGAACTCAGAAAGACTGTTGTATTCATGCTGTTGGGCTGGGGATGTAGCTCAATAGTAGAGCACTTGCCTAGCATGTTCAAGGCCCTCCCTGGGCTTAATCCCCAACACTACAAAAAATAGAAAGCTGTCAGTTGGCCTAACTCACAAGGGGCCAGTTGTGGTAGTGCACACCTGGAATTCTAACACTTTGGAGACTAAGGCAGGGGAAATTTCAAGTTCAAGGCTAGCCTGGGCTACATAGGGATCAGCTTTTTACATGACATCTTGGTTGTGCTATATTGCTGATTGGAGTCTATATGAATTGTGGAACATGGTGTGGCATAGAAGCCATGGGGAGAGACTACAGCATGATCTGGGGATGGTGCAGGGAGAGCAGTAAGGTGGCAGGGACATTTCAAGAGACAGGCTGGCTTCCAGGTGTTTCCATGACGTAGATGAACAGAGCAGTTCTTGGATCTGTTGTACTGGATCTGCTGAGTAGACCCAGTGCCAGGGCACCAGTCCCTTGGGAGCAGCTGTAGGCACTAAAGAAGTACCCTTGACTCCAGCACCTCACATTACTTACTGTGAGCATCAGGCTTACCTCTTTACTTCAGTTGAGCTGGCAGGTGCCCCTCCACAAAATCCACCAGGCCCATCTTGCCACATCCCTATTGTGTATGACTTTGGTTACAGTGTCTGAAGTCTCAGTGGAATGGATCACATCTTTGAAACTTAGACACAGTCATTTTCTCCCCTGCCCTGTGGTGTTCTGGGCTGGTCTTTACCAAATTATTATCTAGCACCTGTGCCATTTGGTTAGGGACCTCCTCACAAGTCCCCCTGACACCTGCATTCCATGGCTTCTGCCCTGGTTACAAGGAGGTCAGGAGAGGGGATAGGAGGCAACGTAAGCCCTTTACAACCCAGAGAGAGCTGTGACCATTTGACCACCATCAGTACATCAGGGTATGTGACCTATACTAGTTCAGCAAGCAGTGTCAGGATAGAGATAGGGCATGGCTTCTTGTAGACATGCATGCTGCAGGCTGGGGCTCCTAAGGTCTATGGACAAGACTTCTTGCCAAACCTTATCCCTCCTATCTGCCCCTTCCTCTCTCTGCTCTCTCCATGTTGTCTCCATGTTGACTCTGACCATCTAGGCCTCAGAGGCAATTCCAGAGTCCTCTACAGCCCTAGTCATTCTGGCTTTCTTGGGCAAGTAAAAACATGTGAAGATTCAACTAACCCAGGGGTGGCACCAGGCAAGGTGGAGGTAGATCAGCTCTCCCTGAGACATTGTACTCATGTTCAGCCTCATGTCCTTTAAGGTGAGATCCTTATGATGCGTGTAGTCTTCAGTGACTCCATGGGTTCCCAGAAGACATGGGAAATGATTGGTAGGTGCTCAGGTATATGTGCAGGACTCATTGGGATTTGCCCTGTAGGGTGGTTCTGGTTACCTACATGCCTGTCTGCTCTGTACACAGATAGTGTGGTGATCAAGAGGCCAAGGGCTGGACTCAGGGCTAGCTCTCTGAGCCCTGCAGGTCAAAGAAGCATGAAGGTGATTCAACAAGCAGGGTGTCAGGGAGGACCTCATCATCCCCTGAAGAGGGCACCAAGCCCCTTGGGGGACCTGGACCAGAAATAACCTGCAACTTCCTAGGGGACACATCTGGGCCCAGGTGACCGAGGGAACTGTTAGGGGAAAGGTGAAGTGGGGAAAGGATGGAGGTAACTTGCTGGCAAGAGAAGGGAAAGGGGCTGGTGGGCAGCGGGCCTGGCTTGAGTGTGGGGGGCGAGGGACTGGAGAGAAAGGCAGTTCCTGATGGTCCCCTCCCCAGGGGCTGGCTTTCCTCTGGTCCTTCCCTCCCAATGACTGCGTCTTCATCGAGGCTGCAGCTCCAGGCTGCTTGGAAACTCATCGATGGCCTTCCTGTGGACCATGGAGCCATCCCCACCACTGCTACCTGACCTGGGGAATAACCTGCTCTGGTCATGTCTGACAGTGGCCACACCTACCTCTGCTGGTAGCCCTGCCCAGCAACTAGCACATAGCCTAGGGAAAGCCAGAGGAGTCCAAAGCCCAGAGTGCTGGCCTCCTCTGACACTAGAAGCGGTGTGCTCCTGGTGCAGAGCCCTCAGAATAGCCCTGAGCAAGTGTAGGCGAAGCACAGCCCTGGGCTCAGTATCAGTGGAATTCCAGCAAAGACTGGTGAAAAGGACTTCTGCTACCACAACTTGGCAGGTTCTCATGTCTGGAAGAGACTGGCTCCCTGACAGTGAAGGTTCTTATGTCTTCTGGGCATATGGTTGGTCCAGAATCCCCTATCTGCAGGACATGGAAGAGGGTACACCCAGGGCCCTCCTGAGGCCCAGCATGCATCTTGACTCCTTGCATAGCCTCTGGATTCTGCTGGTCTGTTTCATTAGCTGTGTCTAGTCTGCTACATGCCTCATCTCCCACCCAAATCTGCTGAGCTTTAATTTGTGGTTCCTATAGCTGTCATTTTTGAAAGAACTTTATAAAAGTTCCTTTTTGTGCTTTGAACTCTGGTTTGTTGACTGTCACTTTCTCTGTCCTGCAGCTTTACTAGCTGGTTTTGTTTTTCTAGAATCAGAGTGTAGCTGATCTGTGATGTGCCTATAAATCTGTCTTTGTACCGAGGTCACTGAATTTCAGGGTCCTTGGCCCCACAGTGTAAGTCTGTCTCTGTTTCCTGGAGTACTTGGCTGTCATAATTTCTCAGAAATCACATACCGTCCTTTTTTTACTTTTGAAATTTTATTATTTTTATGGGGGGAGCACGAGTGCTACTGTGCACATGTGAAGGTCAGAGGACAACTTTGTGAAGTCAGCTCTTTCCTTTCACCTTTATATGAGATCCTGGGATTGAACTCAGGTTGTTAGGTTTGCATGGCAAGTACCCTTACTAATAAACCATCTTCCCAGCCTCATTTTTTTGTTGATTTTTGAGACAGTCTTGCTAAGTTGCCCAGGCTAGCTTGGAACTTGCTGTGTAGCTCAGGCTTGCCTTGAACTTGCAGTTCTTCTGCCATAGCCTCCCAAATGCTGGGATCACAGGCATGTACACTCCCTGCTTTCCTTCTTTTTTGGTCTTTTTGAGACAGGATCTCCCTGTAGCCCCAGTTGTCCTGAAACTCACTTTGTGGACCAGGCTGGCCTGAACTCACAGAGATCTGCCTGCCTCTGCCTCCAAGCGCTGGAATTAAAGGCGTGTGCTACCATGCCCTGCCCTTCTTTATTTTTTAATAAATATTTTGTTTATTATTTTTATTTTATGTGTATGAGTGTATTGCCTGCATGTATGTGAGCGCACCTGTGTTGTGCAATGCCGTGGAGGTCAGAAGAAGGCTTCAGATTCCTCTGGAACTGGAGTTAAGGATGGTTTGTAGCTGCCAAGTGGGTGCTGGGAATTGAATCCGGTTCCTCTGCAAAAGAAGTCAGTGTTCTTAACTGCTGAGCCATCTCTCCAGCCCATCCTTCTTTATTTTTAACCTGTGTCCCCAAAGCCTCTGGAGGTGGCTGTGGATGTAGCTTACCTTTATCCTCTGAGCATTTGTCTTTGGATCACAAACTGGCTTGAGGGAGGGTTTTCTGTTAAAGACTAGGCCTTGTCTTTGAGCCTCTATTAGACTGACAGAGTCTGAGCCCCAGTTTGCCATAATAGGCAGATACTCAGGGGCAGAAGCAACCATTGTGCCCTGCTGTCTTCTCTGGCTCTCTGTATTCTCTGAGATGCTGGCACATTTTCATATTTTTATTTATTTTTACTAATATTGGACTAATAGTCTACTCACCATTACTAGAGTGTTAAGTTACTTCGGGAAGATGGTCTCTAGCATTGCCAGGGCACCCAGGGAAGGAACCCAGCCAGTCCTTGCCTACAGCCTTCTGTATGGCCTGGTGCATGGGACATCCCATTGGCTCCATGTCTCCAGTAATCCCTCTCCCAGCATCCTGTGCTTATGCATACCATCACCATGTGGCCTCTCACCTGCACAGCCACCAACTCCTTCCTAAAGCAGAGGCTTTTTTCCCGATTGCCATTACTGACCAGTACCTATGGGGCCTGGCACAGAGCAGGGGCTTGGGTAAAGGAATATAGGCTGGAACCAGGGGAAGTCTGGTCCCTTGGTCTCAGTGGGTATCTTGTGGAGCTGGTAGAGACAGTAGCAGACAAGTGTGTTCATGGAAGTGGATGAGTCCAGTGAGTAGGGGGCATTGTGGCATTGTCCATGGGAAGGCCCCATGAGCCTGGCCACTCCCCCAGAGCTCTGAGGCAGGCTATACCCATGTCAGGCTGTGGTCCAAGTCCCTCTACCACTGTGGTGCTTGTTCTGCTTTGGTAGTAGGCCTGATGTGTTGGAGACAGACACCCTGTGTGTTCCAAGGCACAGTCTGCAAAGATTTTATTTCATAGACCCAAGACTGTTGATGTACGTCACAGGAGTACCTTCAGTGTCTCTAGAGTTGTGATGAATGTTGGGAGTCCTGAAGAAGTGAACAAGAGCTGTCCCCAGGTCTCTAGCCAGTACCTTCTGCTTATATGCCCCCAAGGAGGCTTTGGAGGCCCTCATTGAGGATAATGTCTTGAATATTGCCCTGACCTGCTGAGACATGGAGACTGGGCCACGTTTGAGTATTTGTGCTGGCCTCCTACAAGAAGACCCATCAAAGTCCTGACCCATAAACCCATTTTACATGCGCACTGCCTCCTGGAGAGGTACCCAAATTCAAGTGGGGATGTTTAACACCTGGGATTAAGGCCACTGCAAAGACCATCCCCAACCCCAGGAGTGCCTCAAGAGTGAGCACAGCCTGCCCTGACCCTTCAGGGCCCCCAAAGATACAGCACAGTCCATTTTGAGCTCTAGGACATCTTCTATCGGTGCCCATGCAGCTCAGAGGACTCTACTAGACATATATGTGGTCCAAAGACAGCCTCAGACTGCGTAACACTACCACACATAGGTACACGTGAACATAGATACATACATATACAAAATGGCACACATATTCCACACTCAGGCACCTGGGCAGACTCACATCTGTACATGTGCTGCCCTGTCCCCACCTGCTCATTGGCTCTGCTCACTGCTTGGCTCTCTTAGTACTGGGACAGGTTCTTGGCTGTCTGTGTTTCAGCTATGGGCACTAACTCTGTTCCAGAGCTATGACACTGAATCAGTCTGCATGTATACGTTTCAGGGACCTTCAAGTCACCTTTCTAGAGTTAGTGGCATCTAGATCTAATCTCAGTTCTCATCTCAGAACTGGAAAGTGTGAAGTGCCTGTTGGGCCACAGAGGTTCCAGCATGTGGTCTATGTGCAAAGGGTGTGTACTTAGTCTGTGCTCACCCAAGTGTGTGTGCACATCCCCAGCATAGGTTCCTGCCTACCAATGTAGGTGTGCAGAATCCTTGGGTCCTTTGGGATGGTGGGCTAGACAAAGGCCTATGGGGACAGGTGCTGCAGGTCATCCCAGGTGAGTGAGGCCTGATGAAGTCTCCTCCCTCATTGGCTCATGGGGACCACGTGGTGCTATTGCAAGGGAGAGGGATTGCTGCACCTTAGCCCCAGCACAATTGTGCTTCCTATTCTTGCTGCTGCTCCCCCACTTCAGCACCCACTCACTGCCCCCTTGCAGTGTGTCCAAGATCAGGGAGCATCATGTCATGGCGGAGTTAAAGCTAACTGGTGCTGATGGGCATAGGTAAAGGGAGGTGTCTGTGATGTCGCCAAGCACATGGTTCTTGCTTGTCCAGCTCCACTCACTGTGATGTGTTCTGGGCCACTGAAGCTTCTGTACAGCCCTCTGTCATCTGCTGTTCATTCAGATCATTTTCCTTTTCCCACAGACCTTGTGACCTCACGTGAGCAAAGTCACCCTTGAAACTCATGTGCATCATCTTCTTTAAGTTTGATCCTCGTCCTGTTTCCAAAAATGCATACAGGTAACACCCCACCTTCCTTCACATCTGCCATGCTACACCAGGTCTGGGGCATACAACTGGTTCTCACCAAGAGTCAAGGGCAGAACATAGGACCAGGCTCTGGATGGCTAAGTTCTGGTCTCAGGAGGCCTGGGGAAAAATTGCAGAGGCCTAGGCCTGGGCCTGGCTTCAAATAGTGTGAGATGCTGGCAAGACTACCACTCTAGAGCTGGCAGAGACTCAGAGCTGATGTGCAGAGATGCAGTCAGCTGGCTATCTGACAAGACAGAGGGTCCCAGTGGGGTACAGATCTGTAGGTTGTGATGAGGGTCAGGGCTGTGGAACTGGGGAAGTGGTCATAGTGAGCAAGGTCCTGCCTGGGCTGGCTAATCTGAAGTGCTGGTGAGAATCTGGGTGGTGGTGGTGGATGGAGTAGCAACATCGATGGGTCTCTGGGTCTCAGTCTGAGGAGTAAGAGCAGGGCTTGGTGGAGAAACTGGAGGACCAGCTGAGGACATAGGAAACAGAAGTGGTAGATAGGGAAGGGTGAGAGAATGAGGCAAAGACTGAACCACAACCAAAAGTGGCCTTCAAATCTTTGCTCATGCAATTGCCTGGGAAGTTTTCAAACTTTGAGGTGTTTTCCAAAAGTTATGTGAATCATTTCAATGAGGCTGTCATGTTGAGTGGCAGAGACACCTTGCTGCCCAGCATTGAGGCTGAATTCCCTCATTTCAGGCCAGGGAATGTAGGGGCTCGGCATCTTCTCTTCCTGAAGAGGAAGGACAGCAGGGTTGAATCAGGCTATAGGAAGTAATCCTGAGTGGCTCCTGGCAGAATGAGCAGAGGGAGTCAGGGTTCAACTGCAGGTGGAATCATGCAGGGAAAGTGATAAAGAGCTAACTACAAGAGACTGTAGGGAGAGGCTCGCTGGTGAGAAGTGAACAGAATATAGGAATAACAAATATGAGTAGCAGCCTCTACTCCAGTTTCCATCACTCCCACATTAAGATCCAGAAAGGGTGCAACTGTGACTCACTAAATGGCCAAGTCCTTCAGGTGTCGTGCTGGCCCAACTTGCTAGAATCTTCTGTCACAGGGTAGATAGTAGGTAAAGGTACTGCCGAGATTAGGTGCTGCTTACATTGTGCACTGCAGAAGCTAAGACCCAGCGAACCACATGTTGCTGGTGCTTCTAGAGAGAACGCCCTTTGGTGTCTCTCTAATGCCCTCTACTGGTAAAACCTAACACTGCTCCAGGAGCAAAGTTCAGCTCCATTCTTATAGCAAAGGCAGTTAAGGGTAAATCTGAGCACTTTAGTGCAATAAATTGATAAGTGATATAGCCCACTCCTTTACTCTCCTCAGCCCTCATGTTCACCATTTTATGCTCATGTGAACTCCTGTGCTCCAGGAAAGCCAAGTTGTATTTCTATTTGGTAATTGAAGTTCTTGAATAGGACAGCACAGCCAACCAATAGTCTCTTAGTCATAGGTGATATCTGTTACTCCATGATTCAGCCAGAGTCCCACTTGATATTCTGTTCTCTGAATACCACCTGAAAGTAAAATTAAAATGGGAGGAAAGAGATACAAAGACATTGGAAAGTATTTATAGACAGTAAGTAGGTAGTAAATACCTACTTACAAGCCAAGTGTGGTGGCACATATCTGTAATCCAGGCTATTCAGGAGGCTCAGGCAGGAGGACAGTGAGTTCAAGACAAGACTAAGCCCCAAAGAAGAAAATGAAGAAGATGGCAATAGAGGCGGACCTACTACTGTCCTCATTCCTGGTGATCACCATGTAGTCCTGGCTTCCTTCTCTACCACCCTCAGCTGTTCACAGGTCCATACTATGGAGGGGCCTGAAAATTCTGTCCACCTATGTAGTTTTGGGTGGCTACAGTTTAGCTATTCTTTTCCCACCAGGGGCCTAATACTCAGCCTGACCATGTGATAAACTCTACCTACCTGATCCCTCTTCTGAGAGGCTTCACTTCCAGGAGTCCTGGCCCATAGGAACAGATCCCAGTACTCTCCAGTTACCACCTGGGCCTCACTGTGAGTCACCCTTCAGTTAGTCTGAGACCCTTCATTCAATCAACAATAGGATAATTAGAAAACAGACCTAAATAACCTGAGCCTTAAATATCAATTGGAAGCCAAATGTGGCTCACACCTGTAATCACAGCACTTGGGAGGCAGGTAGAAAGATCAAGAAGGAGTTCAACTCTTTGTTTTTCTTTCAAAACAAAAGATGGGCTGGAGAGATGGCTCAGCAGTTAAGAACAATGACTGTTCTTGCAGGAAACCAGGGTTTGATTCTCAGCACCCACATGGTAGTTAATGACCATCTGTAACTCCAGCTCCAGGAGATCCAATACCCTCTTCTGACCTCAGAGGGCATTGCACGACATAAGTACACTTACATATATGCAGGCAATATACTCATACAGGTGAAATACAAATAAATTTTTTAAAAAAGAAGAAAAGATCAGGAAAGCCAGACATGGTCCTTAGGGCTTACATTATAGCTGTCACAGCTAGCCTTGGTGAAATGGAAGAGTCTCCTTGAGTTTGTTCCTATAAATTCAAACTACCAAGAGGCTAGTCTCCTGACAGGGCTACTCACAGCTACAGGTGTGTCATGGGCTGAACTGTGTGCAACTCACATTCCTATGTTGAAATCCTAACTTCCAGTACCTCAGAATGCAACTTTCTTTAGAAATAGACTTTAAAGAAGTGATTAAGGTAAAATAGGCAACGTGGGTGGTTCCTGATTCAATATGCTCTGTGTCCTTATGAGAAGAAATTAGAGTACAGACTTATAGATGAAGGCCCTTACAAACATAAAGGACAGAGAGCTCTGGAGGAAACCATTCCTGCCCACACCTTGATCTTGAACTTCCAGCCTCCAGAAGTATAAGACAGTCAACTGCTGGTTTTAAAGTCACCCAGCCTATCAGGTATGGCTGCTCTGGGATGCTAGTCCACTCAGAAGGCCAAGCAACTTGGTGGCTCCCTAGGGGACTTTTCATGTACTCAGATGCGCATATCTCCAGGGAGGAACTCACCTGCCTACTTACAGGACACTGGTGCATGTTTCCAATGGAGATGAGTGTTAGCATAGATCTTACTTGCTTTCTTGTTCAGAATATGTATGTTACTGTTGGGGCCTGTCCTTGTGGATCTTACTGTTCAGTATCATCAGCATTCTCCACACATATTTTCTAAAATCTTTGTCCAAAGACTAACTCAGCTGCCCTGGACAACTGAATGAATATGAACCATGTTTTCCCACTTTTGAGGATTAAATTTACTTATGGTGGCTGTTTCTGTTCTAGCTCCAGGGATGTTCACTGGCAGTGGCAGGCTGCAGGCTGGTGGCATAGGCCCTTCTATGCAGCCCTCAGCTGCAGCCGTATAGCCTTCTGACTCATCCACTCAGAGGCCAGATAGATGGGTGTTGCTTTAGGTTTGGGCCATATTCCCAAAAGACACAATTCTCAAATGTTGAAAACTCAAAAAGTCAAAATAAAAATCTCTTAAGATCTAAAATCTCCAAAATTAGAATCATAAAAATATAAAACTGGTGCCGGGTGTGGTGGCGCATGCCTTTAATCCCAGCACTCGGGAGGCAAAGGCAGGCGGATCTCTGTGAATTCAAGACCAACCTGGTCTACATAGTAAGTTCCAGGCTAGTTGGAGCTACAGGGAGACCCTATCATATGAATAAATACTGGGAAAAAATCATTGAAATTCTTGGGGCTTAAGGTCTAGCTCAGTAGTAGAGAGCTGGGTTCAGTCCTCAGCGGTGCAAAAATAATATAGGATAAAGCAATTTCATTTATTAGTTTTTAAATTTTTAGATGGGGTCTTATGTAACCCAGGCTGACCTCAAACTTGTTATGTTGTTAAGGCTGTCTCACAGAGATCCACCTGCCTCTGCCTCCCCAGTGCTGGGATCAAAGGTGTGCAGCACCACACCTGGCTTGTTCTGTTTTTTTTTTGAGACAGGGTGTCACTATGTAGCCCTGGCTAGACTGGAACTCTCTTTCAGCCTTGAACTGAAAGAGATCCAACTATCTCTGCCTCCTGGGTGCTGAGATTAAAGGCATGTGCCTCCAAAAACGTGGTTCATGCATGGTGCTGAAAATCCTTGCTGGCTGTAAGCTGGAGTGGCTGCTAGATAAGTTGTTGCCCCTTGTGGTGGCTGTTGTAAGGCTGTTACTGAGGACCTGATTGCCAGCTGGGACTACAAGGAGACCAGAAAAAAAAATCAGGATGAATCAATGCAAAGCCAAGTTGGAATTTTATTAAGAAGAAATAGATTTAAGCACAGGGGTTAATGGAAGAAATGTTGAGGAAAAGGACAAGACATACCTAAGAGAATAGGCGTGGGCTTCTCCAGAGACTCACATTTAGCTGTCTTTATAGTGCCTATGTGTGTGATTCTGGTGGCTTCTGAAGTTACATCTCAAGGGTTGCTAAGGAGCTTAAATGAGAGTCTGGAGGTGCACTGGATAAGAGTACAGCTGATAAATTCCAGGTCACTGGCGTAATAGGCAAAGATAATGCTGTTACTGTGAACCAATTTCATGATCTTGTTTGTGAGATTCCCAGAAAACTTGAGGTTTACATCTGGAAAAAGGAGTAAGATCATATTTACAGCCATATATGTTCAGGTCTTAAGTATGGTTCTTTGCTAGTCTAACATTTTTATTTGAAAAATCTCTGTGTAAGAACAATATTGTCTGTATGTAGACAATCCACAGCAAATGTTAATTGTGCTAGAGTTCTTGACTCAGTTGGTAGGATACTTCAGCTTTCCCTTCCCTTGTCTCCTTAATTGTCCTGTCTTTCTATCCTGCCTCACACTTACATCTCCTCTCAGTGCCAACCTCTCCAGGTAGAAGCTCTGAGCGTGATCTCCTGGGAGCTGCCTGGAGCCGCTGTGTGGCAAAGATGGCAGCCTCTAGTCTGTGTTGCTACTGCTGTAAATTTTATGAGGCTAGAGGTATAGCTCCATGGTGGAGCACACAAAGCAATCCTCAGATAACGCTTTCCTGTTTGCATCTGAGTTGGCCAGTCCTGCTTTCTTCTCTCAGGCTCATCCTGGCAGCCAACAGAGATGAATTCTACCACAGACCATCCAAGTTGGCAGACTTCTGGGGCAACAACAATGAGATCCTCAGCGGTAAGTTTGTTCACACTTGGCAAGCAGCCATTCAGCATGGCTTATCAATCCCCTGGGGTGGCACAGAAGTCGAAGTCCCAAAATGAGGACAGCAGCAACCCTGCTTCCAAATGTAATACTGAATATATGAATGGATGTGGTTGGGCCTTGGGGTCCAGCCAGCCCCAGAATCAGGCATCCCTTGGAATTGCCTACCCTGCATGCCCATGTATCTTCACATGCTCTGAGATCCTGGAAAAAGTGGTCAGCCTTGTGAAGGGGCCACGTGGCTTGGCCACTGAGGCATTCTCATTGTATGTGTGTGTCTGTGTTTTTGTATCTGCATTCATGTTCCTACGTATGCATTCCTTGCTCCACAGATATGGGCTGAGTTAAGGGAGCAAAGGCTGTGGGGAGTACAATTTGTATATCTAGAAATAATTATCATTGTCATTAAGCTTTGTTCTAGATTCAGGCCAATAGTTAAGAGACAGTTTGATCTTCTGAGGTCTTCTGCTTTAAATATCTGTTAGGCAGGTGGGAAGCCAGTTCCATCTGAGCTAAGTATTCTTAACTCCTGAGGTATAGGTGATCTTCTCAGTACTTATCTAGAGCTCCAGGAGTTTCAAGTTCCATTCTGGCTTCTAGGAGCAGACAGCACTCCCTGCCCTGGGTAAGCTTTATCCACCATAATCCTTCTATGTGGTTCTTTCTGTCCTGTCACCTAATCAGTCGATCTCTGGTACAGTTCTTGTCTCTCTGATCTTCTGTCCCATGGACTCTAGCGCCTTAGTCTCCCTGGACCCTCGGTTCCTGTCTTGAGGTCAGAGTCTGCTGGCCTCAGCCTGGATCCCCACTAGACCCTGTGCTAGATCCTGAAGACTCGCTAATTGTGGGCTCCTCTCATTTGTTTCCTGTTTCTCAAATCCTTTATCTTTTATTTTTTTTTAATATTTTTTGATTAATTAAAAAAAATTTTTTTTTGGTCTTTTTTGAAACAGGGTCTCCATGTAGCCCCAGCTGTCCTGGATTCACTGTGGAGACCAGGCTGGTCTCAAACTCACAGAGATCCACCTGCCTCTGCCTCCCGAGTGCTAGGATTAAAGGTGTGAGCCACCACGCCCGGCAGTTCGTTTTTATTTTATGTGTATGAGTGTTTTGCCTGCACCTATGTCATGCAAAGCCCAAGGAGGCCAAAGAGGACATTAGACTCCCTAGAACTGGAGTTACAGATGTTTGTTAGCCTCCATACAGGTGCTAGGATTGAATCCAGGTCCTCTATAAGAGCAGCCAGTGCTCTTAACTGCTGAGCCATCTCTCTAGCCCACCTTTTATCTTTTTTTTTAAAAAAAAATTACATTTATGAGCCAGGTGTCGTGGCGCACGCCTTTAATCCCAGCACTCAGAGGCAGAGGCAGGTGGATCTCTGTGAGTTCGAGGCCAACCTGGTCTACATAGTGAGTTCCAGGCCAGCTAACAGAGAGACCCTGTCTCAAAAAGACAAAAAAAAAAAAAATTACATTTACTTACAGCTGGGTGGGGTAGCACAGAGACAGGTGGATTTCTTCGAGTTCAAGGCCAGCCTGGTCTACATAGCGAGTTCCATGCTGCAAGTTCCAGGGCAGCTGGGGCTGCAGGGAGACTGTCTCAAAAATACCAAAAAAAAAAAAAAAAAAGCCACCAAAATATTTATTTACTTATTATGTAATTTATTTACTTTTATATACGTTTATTTACTTATTATGCATGTGCTGTAGTATATGTGTGGAAGTCAGAGGACAACTTTCAGGAGTTGGTTCTCTCCACCTACCATGTAGGTTCAGGGCTACAACTCAAGATTCAAGTCTTGATGGCAAGCATGTTTACCCACTGAGTCATATTACATATTATAGGCCCCATTTATCTTTTTTTTTATTTTGGCATTTTGAGAAAGTCTCATATAGGCCAGGTTGGCCTGGAACTCAACTCTATAGCTGAGACTGATCCTGAATGTGTGATCTTCCTTTCTCCACCTACCAGTGCTGGAATTACAGGTGCTTGGCTTTAGAACTTTGTTAACATTTATTTATTTGTTTGTTTGTTTAAGGTGTGTGTATGTGTATGCACTCACATACCACAGTACATGTGTGGAGGTCAAAGGCCAACTTACAGGATTCAGGTATCTCCTTCCATCATGTGAATACTAAGGATGAAACTGAGATCATTAGGCTCAGTGGCATACAGTGAGCAATTTGTTGTTTTGTGGTGCAGGGGATCAAAGTCAATTTTACACATGCTAGGCAGGCAAGTGTTCTGCCACTAAGCCACATCCCAGACTTCCTTTTTTTCTTTTTTTTTTGGTGAGGGGGAAACAGGGTCTCACTTTATGTTCCTGGCTGGCCTGGGACTTGCTGCCTTTGCATCCTGACTGCTGGGATTACAGATGTGCTCTACCACACTCTATTCAGATTCTTTATCTAAACTCATGTTTTTGTATGTTTTGTTTTTGGTGGTTTTATGTGGGAGAGAAAATCTGGAGTCTAATGCTTGGCAAGACAGTGAAAGCTCATTCATTTTTTAAATTATTGACTTGTAGGATTTCTTTATGCATTCTGGAGATGAATCCTTTGTTGGGTAAACGGACTGCCTACTCATCTCCTTAATATCTTTTGGTGAGCAGAACATTTTATTTTAACAAAATGTCTTTTTTTTTTTTTTTGGTCTTTTTGAGACAGGGTCTCCATGTAGCCCCAGCTGTCCTGGAACTCACTATGTAGACCAGGCTGGCCTTGAACTCACAGAGATCTGCCTGCCTCTGCCTCCTGAGTGCTGGGATTAAAGGCATGCACCACCATGCCCAGCCTAACAAAATGTCATTTTTATGGTTCTTTTTTTATCTTATCCAAGAAACCTGTACTTCCCCAGGTCATAATATTTTTCTCTGTTGAAGCCTCTGAGTCAGCAGACTGTGATTTATCTCAAATTAATTTTTCTTGCGTGTGTGTGTGTGTGTGTGTGTGTGTGTGTGTGTTTTGATGTCAATACAAGTGTTCAGTCTCAGTTACTGTCCTTTTGAGCTGAGCACAGTGGTGAATAACTGTTCTTTTGAGTCCAAGAGTTCAAGCTCTAAGTATTTTCAACACTGTTTTAAATGGTATATTTAAATTTTTATTTTCTAAGTTAGGCCTGGTGATGTAAGACTGTAATCCCAGCACTTGGGAGTTTAAGACAGTAGTATCACTATGAGTCCACGGCCTTCTGGGGCTATATGGCAAGACCCTGACTCAAAAACACCAAAATAAGACTGGGTATATACCTCAGTTGGTAGAATGCTTGCCTAGCATGTATGAAGCCCTGGGTTTGGTCTCCAGCACGGTATAAACCAGGTGTGGTATATACCTGGAGCCCCAGAACTTAGGAAGTTGAGGCAGAAGGATTAGAAGCTCAAGTTCATCTTCAACTACATGAAAAATTCAAGGCCAAACTGAGCTATATTAGACTTTATCTCAAAAAACAAATCAAATAATGGGTCAGGCCTGGTAGTACATGTCTTTAATCTCAGCACTTGGGGAGGCAGAGACAGGCAGATAGATCTCTTTGAGATAAAGGCTAGCTTGGTCTACATAGTTCCAGACCAGCTGGGCTACAGGGAGACCCTGTCTTTTTTTTTTTAAAAAAAAAAAAAAAAGCTTATCAAACCCATTTACTTTGTTGTTTGGGCTACTCTAGGTATAGGAAAGTTTTACTTCCTTTCCTAGCTTTACATTAAAAAAAATGTTTATTTTATGTGTATGCGTGTATTACCTGCATGTAGGTAAGTACACCTGTGTCGTGCAATGCCTGCAGAGAACAGAAGAGGCTGTTGGATCCCCTGGAACTGGAGTAACAGACAGTTGTTAGCTGCCATGTGGGTGCTGGGATTTGAACCCGGGTCTTCTGCAAAAACAGCCAGTGTTCTTAACCGTTGAGCCATCTCTACAGCCCCTAACTTTACATTTTTAATTATTCTATTAAAATTATATTTTAGGGCTGAGGAGATGACTCAGTAGGTAAGAACACTTGCTGCACAAACATGAGGACCTGAGTTCAATCCCAACACTCACATAAAAGCCTGGCATAACCTTGTGTGCCTATAACCCCAGAGCTGTGGGGGGCAGAGACAGGAGGATCACAAGGGCTTGCTGACCACCAGCCCAGCTCCAGATTCAGTGAGAGATCCTCTTTCAAGAGACAGGGTAGAGAGTGATGGGGCAAGATGCCTGTTGTCCTTCTGTGGCCTCTGCTCATGTGCACAGGCACACATACCTGCACACACAAGTGTACATACACCACACATATATGCTACAAACACACTCATTCATATAAACAAGCAAATATGTATTTTTTTAACTTTTGTTTACTTTATGTGTATGAGTGTATTGCCTACATGTATGTAAGTGCACCCATGTCATGAAATGCCCACAGAAGCCAGAGGAGGGTGTCGGATCCCCTGGAACTGGAGTTAGAGATGGTTGTAAGCCACCATGTGGGTGCTGGGATTTGAACCCAGAACTTCTGCAAGAGCAGCCAGTGCTCTTAAACACTGAGCCATCACTCCAGTCCTGCAATTATATATTTTAGTATGACATTTTAACAACAGCCTTGTTTGCCTCAGATTTTGAGTGCAGTGGCCTTATAGTCTAACTGGGTCACCTCTTGTGGTCTGGGTCTCTCTTATGCACACACCTCTGAGCCATACCTCCCAGCTCCTCTCCTGTGACCTAGTGTGGGACCTGATAGCAGCAGTGTTGACCCTATGAGGAGCTGTGTGTACTGGCAGAGCTGTGGAACATGCCTGGTGAGGAGTTGGGTCAGCATGGAGAGGTGGGGACAGACACTAGCGGGGTCCATCACAGTGAACTTGGCTGGTAGTAACACTGTCACCTGTCATAGGGCTCGACATGGAAGAAGGCAAGGAAGGAGGAACATGGCTGGGCATCAGCACACGTGGGAAACTGGGCGCACTCACCAACTACTTGCAACCCCGGCAGGAAACGGACACCCGTGGCAGAGGTATGGGATGGGATAGGGCCTCAGTAAGTGTGGTATAGATGTAGGACAGTGCTGGGTATGGTTTGGGGGCGGGGGGTAATGGTGAGGAAGAAAGGCTCTGGTGAACCCCACACCCTCTTATGTGTCTCTCACATGGCAGTGACAGGAGGAAGAGCTAGAGAGAAAGGTTAGCCAAGCAGCTCAGAGGGCTCATCTTAGGAATTGTGTGCCAAATTTGTTACTCCCATGGACTCCTGCTTCTTGTGTCACTGTTCCCTGCCTGTTTTGTTGCTGTTGTTGTTGTTGTTGTTGTTGTTGTTTTGAGACAGGATCTCCCTGTGGCCCCAGCTGGCCTAGAAACTACTGTGTAGACCAGGCTGGCCTTGATTTCACAAAGATCTACCTACCTCTGCTTCTCCAGTACTGGGATTAAAGGTATGAGCCATCACCTGGCTTTTTCCTGTCTGTTAAATTTCATTTCCCTTAATGCAAAATTTACACAAAAACATAATAGTAGGTAACTTTATTTATTTATTTTGCTGTGTTGGGGATTGAACCCAGAGTGTCAGGCAGGGTAGGCAAAGTTTTTACTACAGAGCTATTTCTTCTACCCAGAAAATGTTTTTTAAAACCTTTCTCTAGCCGGGCATGGTGGTGCATGCCTTTAATCCAAGAACTCAAGAGGCAGAGGCAGGTGGATCTCTGAGATCAAGGCCAGCCTGGTCTACATAGCTGGTTCCAGGCTAACTGGGGCTACAAGGAGACCCTGTCTCAAAAAGAAACCCCCACAAAACCCAAAACAAACAAAAAATACTCCACTTTCTATATGATAGCTCAGTGAGATATGGCTGACTCCAAAGGCTGGAGCCCCAGTGGGAACCCCCTCACTACTTCCTCCTCAGGAACCCTCCTCTATTCTCACCCCTGGCAGGGATTTATGCCTGCTACATTGGCCATGGATGTCTGTATTCTGCCCACAGGTGAACTTGTGACCCACTTTCTGACCAGTGACATGGATAGCCTGTCCTACCTGAAAACAGTCTCTGCAGAGGGTCACCTGTACAATGGCTTTAACCTCATAGCAGCTGACCTGAGGTGGGTCTGCCTTGGGGGGCCAGGTTTCCAGCACTTTTGTACAGTTCCCTATCCTTGTCAGGTTGGTAGTCTTTCCTAGGACTTCACTTAAGGGGTTTTTGTCAAGCATCTGAGTGCCTTGCCTATCTCAGACCTACCGATTGAGAACTGGAGAGCAGAGCTCAGGGCTACTTGAGATAGTGTGAGGCTGCTGGTTCTCCAATGAGAGAACTCCTATGGGGAGCTAGCAGTGCTGAGGCTGAGGGCCTCCAAGTTGAGGTGACCCCAGCTGGGTGTCCACCCCCTCCCATAGGAATGCTCTGAAACAGCTAACATCAGTCTTGACCAGGTGCTCAGCTCTCTGGTGATTCCATGTTGGAGATGTAGCTAGAACACAGAAGTTTTGTATGCTTGGTCTTTCAGGAAATTGAGCATCTTTATCTCCCCCCTTTACCTGCCCATCTACTTCTTTCCCCTCCATTGCCCAGAAGTCAATGAATGTTTTTAGTCTAGGGGCTTCCTCCCTGAGGGAGGCTGCTGTCAGCTCATAGCCAGATGTCTGTTCTGACCTGCCTCCTACAAGGGAAGGTCCATGGGCCTCTAGGCCTGTGAGCCCTAGGCCCTGAGTATCATGCTCTGTGCTTTTCTTGGACCACATGGATGGATTCACTTGATTTGGGAGCTGTGCAAGATGCAGTGGCCCACAGGAAGAGGGCTGTCCTAGTTTGCTTTCCAGTGCTGTAAAAAAAAAAAAAAAAAAAACACTGACCAAAACCAACTTGAGGAAGAAAGAGTTTATTTAATCTTATACTTCCAAGTGACAGTCCATCATTGAAGAAAGTCAAGGCAGGAACTCAGGGCAAGAACCTAGGTACAGGAACTGAAGCATAGTCCACAGAAGAATGCTGCTTATTGGCTTCCTTTTTTGGCAACCTAGGACCACATGCCCAGGGGTGGTACCACCCACATCACTCAACAGTTGAGAAAAATGCCTTACATCCATGCCTATAGGCCAGTCTAATGCAGAAAATTCCCCAATTGAGGTTCCTCTTCCCAGGTGTATTAAACTGACAATGGAAGGCAATCATAACAAGGGCCCAGAATGGGAGCTGGGAAGGGCTTGCTGCCTAGAACCTTACACCCCTCTCACATTAGGGGTTCCTGAAGGCCAGTCTCTATACCTGCTTTCCTCCCTAAACATGGAGCTTACTGCGCTGTCAGTAGTATTTCCATCTGTGTATCACTCAGCCCCAAGAGACCAGAGTAGTGGTCATGATATAGGCGAGCTGTGTCCAGTTACTGGGGGACAAGGCTGATGTGCTCCAGGAAGATGCACAGTGGTTTCTATAGTTGGGCCTCTGGGAATCTAAGCAGCCTTCTTGGCTTGTGAATCCTTCAGAGTCATGGGCCAGCTAACCCAAATGCCCCAGAGGTAGGAGTGGCTGAAAGAATGACCCACAGATCTGGCTGCTGATACCATGGCTGAGGTTGGAGGGCAGCAGTTATTGGAGGGTCAGTGAGCAGCCTTCTGATGAGTACAGATAAAGAAACCAAGGCCTGAGGCTGGAGAGATGGCTCAGCATGGAGAGTGTACTGCTTTTGCAGAAGACTGGAGTTCAGTTCCCAGCACACATGTCAGGTGGCTCATAAATGCCTCTGGAACTCCAGTTCCAGAGGGATCCTATGCCTATGACCTACACACAAGTACACATAACCCCACACACATAATTAAAAATAAGAAATAAATCTTTGAGGGTTGGAGAGATGGCTCAGCAGTTAACACTGAATGTTCTTGCAGAAGACCTGGGTTCGACATGGCAGCTGACAACTGTCCTTAACTCCAATTCCAGGGGATCCGATAGCCTCTTCTGTCCTCCGAGGGCATTGCACAGGGTGCACTTACCTACATGCAGGCAATACACACATACATATAAAAAAATAAAATATTTTTTAAAAAAAGAGAAATATTTGAAGAAAAAAAAAAAAAACCCACAAAAACCAAGACCTGCAATGAAGAGAAGTTAGTCCCTGGATCATACCTTCCCTTAGTCTGGCCTGTGGCAGCAGTGACTGGGGCCCTAATGTGGGCACAGAGAACCTTTGCCCACAAGATAAATCTCCATATCACTAGCCAAACATTCTAAGAAAGTTGCAAGGGCTAGGGTGAGGAAGAATGTGGAAGGGATATGAACCCAGACTTGGGGTTGGTGAGGCTGTGGTCTGTCCTGCCTGCTGTCAGTATGGGGCAGAAGAATGGTCTGGTCTCATCTCCCCAGCACCCAAAGCTACCCCTTTCTCTGTGCTTGTATATTTGAAGGCACAGGTTTCCCCACTTGGTGTCTGACCTTGGAAGGTGTCTCATAGGACTCAGTCTTTCCAAGTTCCAGCTGAAAGACTTAGTGTGACATTGGGGAACGGGGACATTTTTTAGCCTCAGAGCATTTTAAATAGTTGTAAAGTGTCCACTCAGCATATGAAAGTAGGTGAATGTAGTCTTTGTCACTTTGTTCAGAAACGTATCCTGAGGCTACCTGCCAGAAGCACTTAGAGATGAGACTTGTGGGCAGCAGCTGTGGCCCCCCAAAGGGGTTGGGGTGGGAGCATGCTCATGCCATGGCCATGGAACATTCAGGAAGGTAGCTTACCTCCTCTTTGTTGATGGTCGCAATAGTGAGCCAGGATGGTACCTGTGAGGCTGGACAGAGTCTAAGCCTGACTGAAGCGGGCCACTGACCTTGTGCTGATTACTAGCCAAGAGATCACTGGGCAGTGTTCAGAGCAGCGTGCCTATGGCTCCCATCTGACTTTCTCTGACTTCTGTCTTCCATCCACAGCACAGCAAAAGGAGACATTGTATGCTACTATGGAAACCGAGGGGAGCCTGAGCCTATTGTCTTGACACCAGGTGAGCCTGCTTTGGCGTCCAGACAGGGTAGCGTCTGCTTCTATGTTGGGGATACCATGTACTTTTCAGAGACCAGGCCTTTGTTGCATTACTCCTGGAACTTTGCTTTTCAGCTATTTCTTTACCTTAGATGGTCTGTGTAGGACTGTGGTCCGGACCTGCCCACAAAAATAGCTCCATAGCTCATCTGCTCATCTAGCAATTCACAGGCCTTCCTCAGAGCCTTTGAGGACTGTCACTACCTGGGTCTTCCTAAGGCCTCCTTATACTCACCCCTTCTCTGTGAGCATCTTTGGAAGAAGAGAAGTGTATATCTTACCCCAGGTCTGGTGCCAGGACTGAGCAGGCACCCCTGGGAAACAGCACAAATGAGGTCTAGCTCAACACAGGGTGAACTAACCTGTTGGGACCTGTTGTTTCTTCCCCCATTCACAGCTGGTAGCCAATCCTTGCTGGTGGTATTTGGGACACTGACTCTGTCCCTACAACTGAGCTGTTGGCCTGTTATTGTGTCCCTGCCCTTAGAGAAAGTGTCAGTGCTCTTGGCAGCACCCACCTCCCTCCTATGTAACAGTGCTCATTTGCCACACAGTTCCTGCATCAAGTCAAGTCATGGAGACTTTCCTAAGCAGTTAACACTTGTTTCTTTCTTTCTTTTTTTTTGGTCTTTTTGAAACAGGGTCTCCCTATAGCTCCAGCTGACCTGGAACTCACTGTGTAGACCAGGCTGGCCTTGAACTCACAAAGATCCACCTGCCTCTGCCTCCCAAAGTGCTGGGACTATAGGCATGCACCACCATGCCCGGCTTGACACTTGTTGTTTCTTAGTGAGGTTGCAGAACACAGGCCCCTTCATCCCACCGAAGGCCAATGGTGGGTCCAAATGCAGAGTGTTCCAGGCGGGACCCACAGGAAGTAGAGAGTGGCCCCCTGGAGAGCTAAGTGACCCTACCCTGCCTGTGACTATTCGCTCCAGGGATAATGGTGAGGTTTGTAGTCCCAGCCTGCTTTATACCAGAACCCATAAAATGGCTCATACTAGGGCTAGCTTCCAGCTTTCTATGACAATCTGGGGACATTTGAATCCCAGATGGGACAAGCAGCTCCGAAGCTCCCCCCTTTGCTTGGGGTGTGTCCAGGCCAGGATGCCCTGAGTCAGTAACATCCTGGAGGCAGGATGGCAGCCCACAATGGAGAGTGGATTCTACTGCCTCTCACCAGTCCTTTGCAAGTGCCTACCAAAGCCCTCTCCTCACATTGGGCTCTCTGCCAGTCATGGACTACAGCAGGTACCTTCTGTGATACAGGTCCTCCCATTCCTGTGGGAGCCCCAGAGCAGGTCCACTTGCACTCCCAAGAGCCAATTGATGTTTAAGTTGAGGTCCTGAGCTTAGAATCATTTAAGTTCATCTCTAGCCAGGTCTTGCTGCTTTGTTTGCCTCAGAGCCCCTTCATTTTGGCTTCTTGGGGTTTCCATGTGCAGTGAGGCTGTTTGTATCCCAGGAATCAGTCTCATGCCACCCCTAAATAAGTAACTGCTCAAAAGAGAATAGAAAACCTAAAAGGCACAAGGGAAGCAGGACCAGCCCTAATCTAAACACTGTCCCAGAGGCCTCTGGGGGAGCAGCTGGCAGGCACTGCACAAGGCCTGCTATTCTCTGTGCTGGAGACTGACTCCATGACCTACTTTCTTCTGAGCCTTTGGTGGGGGACATTCTTTCCACCTATATTCTGTTTCATCCTTGAACTTGTTCCCTCTTAATCTGTGTCCCCTTCCATCTGGTGCTGAGAATTAAACCCAGGGCCTCATACCTACTAAATACACCCTCTTGCTATACCCTTAGCCTCTCACTTGTAAGTCTGTAAAGTTGTTCATGCTTGTAATCTCTGTAAGCAGGAGGCTGAAGCAGGAGGTTTGCTTGGCATTCCAAAGCCATTAATGGCTGTATAGTATGTGCCAGCCTGGGCTACAGAATGGGGCCCTGGGTTTTGTTTTTTTTTTTAAAGCAGCCTTTCTTGAGATGTGTCTCACATCCTGTGTGGTTCACATGAATGATGTGTATCATATAGCCAGCCATGGTGACACATACTTGTAATCCTGCACTCAGAAGGCCAAGACCAGGAGGATCACTAGGAATTTGAGGCCAGCCGGAGCTATGTATTGAGGCCATGTTGCAAAGCAAGCAAAGCCATGCTTAGTTTTGCGCACTTTTAGTCCCAGCACCGTGGAAGCCAGAGACAGGTGAATCTCTGTGAAATGAGGCCAGCCTGGTCTGCATAGCAAGTTCAGGCCATCCAGGTCTACTCAGTGAGACCCTATCTCAAACAACAGCAACAAAACAATAATTAAAAACAAGCAAAAAGCCAGGCATGGTGGAATTAGGGAGTCAAAGGAAAAAAGGATCACTATTTCAAGGCCAGCCAGGGCTACATGGCATAATTCAAACAAGCTGGGTGCACATCTGTATCCCAGCACTCAGGAGGGTATATCAGGAAGATCATAGTTTGAGGTTAGTCTGAACTCCAGAAACAAAGAAAAATGGTGTGTGATGTTCAATGGATGTTAGTATTTGCATGGTGTTATGCAAACATCACCACTATGTAATTCTAGAACCTTTTCATCATCAGCCAAAGAAACCCTAGCGCCATCTGCACATGCTCCCATTGCCCTCCCTCTCCAGCCCCCAGGACCTTCTGCTTCCTGTCTCTCATGATTTGCACATTGTAGACACTGCATACAACTAGAGTCAGGAACTATGTGGTCTTGGAAATTGACCTTTTTTTTTCTTTTGTTTTTTTTGAGACAGGGTCTCTCTGTAGCCCCAGCTGGCCTGGAACTCACTATGTAGACCAGGTTGGCCTGGAACTCACAGAGATCCGCCTGCTCTGTGTTCATCCATGGATGGACACTTTAGCTATTGTGAATAATGCCTCTGTGAACATTCATCGCAAGTTTTTAAAAAATATTTTATTATTTTTGTTATGTGTATGAGTGTATTGCCTGCATATGTGTAAGTGCGCCTGTGTCACACAATGCCCTTGGACAAGGTCAGAAGAAGGGTCAGATCCCCTGGAACTGGAGTTACAGACAGTTGTTAGCCATCGTGTGGGTGCCAGTAATCAAACCTGGGTTTTCTGCAAGAATGGTCAATGCTCTTGACCATTGGTAGCCATCTCTCTAGCCCTTCATTGCGGGTTTTTGTGTGGACATGTTTTTATATCTTCTGTGCACATATATGCTTAGAAATGGAATTGCTGGATCGTATGGTATCTCTCTGTTTATAGCCGTATAAGGAACTTCCAAATTGTTTGCCAAAGCATCTGTACCATTTTACATTTCTACCAGCAGTATATAAAAGTTTCTGTTCTCTGAATTTTTACCAAGACTTGCTATTTTCTGTCCTTTTTAGTGGGAGAAGGAGATAGAATCCAGAGCCTTATACATGCTAAGCACACGCTTTCTTATTGAGCTATATCACTAGCCTGGTTTCTCCCTCTCTTCCTTGGGGTGCTGGTGAATCAAAGCAAGGCCTTTTGCATGCTAGGCATATCTATTTGATCACACCATCACCCTGTCTCTGTCTTTGTTTTTGTTTTTTATTTCCAGAGCTGAGGACCGAACCCAGGGCCTTGCGTTTGCTAGGCAAGCGCTCTACCACTGAGCTAAATCCCCAACCCAGTCTTTGTTTTGTTTTTTATTTTTGTGTTTTGTTTTAGGCAGGGTCTCATGTAAACTTACTATGTAACTGAGGATGGCTTTGAACTTCTGATCCTGTGCCTCTACCTCCCAAATGCTGGGATTACAAGTGTGTGGCACCATGCCCTATTTATGTGGCACCAAGGACCAAACTCAGGGATTCATGCATGCTAGGCAAGCTGAGCAACCGGTAGCAAGTACTCTCCAGCAGCCTCATCCCTGTGTTTTGTACAGCTGTCCTAGTGGGTATGAAGTGGCATCTCTTTTTGGTTGGGATCTGCATTTCTGTGTTAGTTAATGAAGCAGAGCATCTCTTCCATGTGCTTGTTGGCCATTTGTGTAGCTTCTCTGGAGAAATGATTATTCAAGTCTGCTCATTTTTATGTTATGTTGTCTTGTAGCCATTGTATATTCTAGCAACCAGTCTCATCAGATACCAGATTTGCAAAAATCCTCCCCCATTTTGTGTTTTTTTTTCCCCTTCCTTGGCATTATTTTGAAGCACAAAACTTTAAATTGACATGAAGCCTCATTTATCTTGCTGCTGTTGCTTGTGTTTTTGTTGTCTTACCTACTAAGTCACTGCTTAATCTAAGGTTATGAAGCTTCTTTTAAAAATATATATTTATTTTTGCTGAGCATGGTGGCACACACTTTTAATCCCAGCGTGTGGGAGGCAAAGGCAGTCGGACCTCTGTGAGTTCAAGGCCAATCTGGTCTACATCGCAAGCTCCAGGCCAGCTAGGGCTACAGAGAGACCCTGTCTCAAAAAGACCAATATATATCTATGTCTATATCTATAGACATAGATATATAGATTTTAAATTTTTATTTATATTTATTTTATGTAAATGAGTGTTTTACTTGCGTGTATGTAAGTGCACCCATGTGTACAGTGTCCATGGAGGCCAGGAGAGGGCATTGAATCCCCTGGAGTTGGAGTTATAAATGGTTGTTAGCCACCATGTGTATGCTGGGAACCAAACTCAGGTCCTCTGTAAGAGCAGCAAGTGCTCATAACTCTCTCTCCAGCCCCTGATTTTTTTCTTTTAAAAAATTATTTTATATATACACACAAAAAAAATCAACAAATTTTTAAAAATGTATTTGAGGAAGAAGTGCAGAAATTTACGTCATGCTAATTAGTAGAGGTGATAAACATTACCATTGAAATCTACCCGATGACTTTATAGACATACACAGGCGCCAAGGATCCAAGTGCAACCAATTATGACTAGTAATAATCAGATACATACAGATTAGAGATGCATGGGCCAACATCTCAGTGTTAGTAGCAAAAACAATGAGTTTTCTGCAAGAAACAATTATTCTTAAATGAAATGGAGATCTTTTTTAAAGGTTAAAAACTCATTCAGTTTTATGTCTTACAGGGCTTATACTGAGTTCAATATTGTATAATGGTATTAATTCAACTGTGAGCCTAGAAACTTGCACCCACTTGTGAAAGAGATGTACTCTTGCTCTGGAGTGTGTTACTGAATATGTTAAAGTTGTAGTGAAAGGCTTCTTCTAATCATGTAGTTATTAAAAATTAAAAATGATTAAAAAATAAATCCTCAAAGCATAAAAAAATTATTTTATTAGAGAGAGAGAGTGTGTGTGTATTCAGGCACATTCCTCAGCTTACATGTGAAAGTCAGAGGATAACTTACCAGTGTCATTTCTCTCCTTCTACTATGTGGGTCCTAAAGATCAAACTCAAATCATTAAGCTTGGTGGCAAGTTCCTTTACCCACTGAGTCATCTTGCCCACCTTGAGTTAATTTTTAATTTTTACACATAGTGTGAGATCAGGTACAACTCTATTCTTTGTCTATGACTTCTCAGTTACCTGGTCTTCCAAGCTACTCCAGGAGGAGAAAACACAGTGACACCCAGGGCTGGCAGCTTGGTCTTGGGGGCCCCAGCAGAGGTAGAATGGCCTTCCTGGAACTCAGCTGGAGTGGCATGAGAGTCACCTTCCCCTGGTGCCTTGTTCAGGATGCTTGGCTGTAAGCCATCAACCTCGGCTACCTGGTCCTCTGGAGAAAAGACTCCAAGGGGCCACTCTACCTCCTATCTCTGGCCTTTTAAGATGTGATAAACCCTTTTCCTTTTGGTCACACCTCTTGCTGCTCTGTAACTTAGTTGTTCTGAGAAACTACAGCTGAGAGTCCCTGCACTGAGGTCCTCTGTTTCCCCAGCAAGGAGTCCAGCCAATACATGGAGGTGGGTTGTGCTTTGCCCAAGCCATGGACAACCCCCCTGGCTGGGTTCCCTAACAGCTAACATGTGTTAGGATTTCTTGTGGTGGGTGCCTTCCTGACTTCTAGTTGATAGTGACCCATGCCCTAGCTTAGAGAGGGATGTCAGTTAGGATTTAGGTGATTCATTCTGTGTCCATCTAGGCTCCTGGGCATCTGTCTGTATCTTGTGGTCTCCTGCAGGTGCCCTCTTACCCTCATTGAGTTCTCCACCCCTTATTATGCAAACCTGACAGGAATGGTCATAGAGAAGGTGCTGGAGTATAAGGGCAGCTTGACCTCAGTCTTCCAGTTTTGTTGTCCCCTGCTGTCTCTTGCCACCTTATGCCAAGTGAGTAGGTAGGAGGGTGGGTGCTTACCTTAAAATCACACAGTGGAGCCTCTACATGGCCAGGCTGACCCTCTTCCTACAGGAACCTATGGGCTAAGCAATGCATTGCTGGAGACACCCTGGAGGAAGCTGTGCTTCGGCAAGCAACTCTTCACAGAGGTGGCGGAGCAGAGCCAAGCACTCCCTAAGGATGCCCTTGTTGCCCAGCTCCTAAATGTGCTCAACAATGAGGAGGCGTAAGTGGGCAAGTCCCTCTAGGGTGGCCACTTCAGGAAGGAAGGCAGGCTCTTCTGCCGTTGAAGGTCTGTGAAGGTAAGCAGGGCTGGCTTCTCAGCTGCAGGAGAGCCTGTTCTGCCATGCTATCCTCTATCTCCCTAAGACCCAGACCTGCTCCTCTTGGGGATGCAGTCAGGAATTTCAACGGAGTCCTTGATAGCAAGAGATGGAGCAGCCAGTGCTGGGAAACTTGTCTTGGTGGTCTGTTAAAGGCTCCCTCTACACAAAGATGGCTGGTGGGATATCCTAGAATGTTCTAGCTGTTCAGCAGATCTTAGGGAGGAGAGCCAAAGAGTCCAGTAGCTGAGTCAGAGCAGGTCTAGAGATTAACATTGCTTCATAGGAATGAAGCAATAGGTTCCATCTCCAGTGACCTGGAGTCTATGCATTGGGCATAGACATACCTATCTCTGGGAGGATGGGACCCCCATCCTCTTACATACCCATAGGCCTCTGTATGGCCAGCTGGACCTTGGTTATCTCACCCAGGAGTTCTGGTAATCCCCCATGCTGGCCTTTGTCCAGACTGCAGCTCCATGAATTCTTCCCTTCCCACCTAAGTTGGGCCACTTCTGCCTAGATGGCCTGGGGTCCATCCTGCTTGCTCACCTTACAGACCCTTAGCAGATTCCCCCATGCTTCTAGCCCCTACAGGACCCTTCCCTGACCTCTGCTCACTCTCTCTTCTATAGACCTTGAACCACAGCATCATCCTCCAGCTAAGCATCAACTACTCCCTTGGGGGAGCTGTGCTGTACCTTTCTCAGCTATGTGCCCACATGGTCTTCAGTTGGTGTTATCTTGGGCAGGCCAGTTGTGGCCCTGGCTGTTATTATTGATCACAATAGCCCTGGTACCAGTTGTGCTGGCTGCTGTCAGGGTTTTAGGGGCTCCTGTTCATGGACAGTTGCCCATAGGGCACCTCTAGAGACAGAGAATGCATGTGTGATTGGATATTTAGGCTCAGTGTTGGAGTCATTAGTGGGAGGATGACAAGGGTGCCAAGCAGAAAAGTGACAGATAAGTCTATGGTTCCTCTAACCCATGCTTTCTGAGGCCAGAGTTTCCTCAGGAACCTCAAGGTATTACCATAGCAGACACCCCCCCACCCCCCAGCTACCCAGGACTCTGGACAGGCAGTAAGGGGGGCTGATGGCTTTCCTGGCCTTCTGTCCTTCTAGACAACTGCCAGACCCAGCCATTGAGGACCAGGGCCAGGAGTATGTACAGCCCATACTGAACAAGTACGCAGCTGTGTGTGTGCGCTGTGCCAACTATGGCACCAGGTAACCAGAGCTGGGGCTACTTGCCATGTTCCCTACCCATTGTGCATGCCACAGCTGGCCATGGCCAGGCTCCTTCCCTGAACCTTTGTTTTGTCTAGACTTGACTGCAGGGTAAACAGACTCCACAGGTAACATGCCCAGTCATACATGAGGCCAGGTGGGTCAGGGCTCCAGACTCCTGAACCTGCCATTGTGCCCTGACTGCCCCTCCTCATAAGGAGTCAATATCCAAGCTTCAAAGATAGCATTAGGAATGCTCTTGCTGGCAGATCTTGGTTGGCAGATACCCTGGTGCTAACTCTTCTTTGGTTTACATGTCTGGGATGGAAGTTATGGGCTGTCCTTCCTGTGTGTGTCCACTCTCCTTCTGGGAGAGACAAGAGCTTACACTTGAGAATCCACCAGAGGGTGGACTAGAAGGAAAAAGGAAGTGGGCCAGCTGATAGCCTGGGAAATAGAGGAAGAAGAGGAAAAGAGGGAGTTTTCTAAGTGAACAACTCCTGGACTCCAAATGGTTGAGAACTTGACTTCTTGGAGAACTGAGTATGGCCAGATATCAGGGGTGCCTAGGGTGCTTCTCATGGGGCAGTGCATAGTCTTGTGGGTTGGTTCTTATTTTAGAAAAAGGGCAGGGCAGGTTGAGGATTTTAGAGCAGAGGCAACAGGAATGGCTTGCCAGGGAGCCCAGATGCCTATGATAAGCCCCTGATGTCCCCCAAAGCCATGACTGTTATTCATATATGATCCACCTGAAGCCAGAGCTGTGTGCCCAGCACAGGCCCTGGGCATAATGGGCCTGCCCTTTGTGCCTCAGGTCTGGCCCTGGTGTGGCTCTGACAGGTGGGACTGGGACTAAGGGAAGTTTCTTTCAGAACCAACACCATCATCCTCCTGGATGCAGATGGCCATGTGACCTTCACAGAACGCAGCATGCTGGACAAGGACCCCTCTCACTGGGAGACCAGCACCTACGAGTTCACACTGCAGAGTTAAGCCCTGCTTCTCAGCATGGCTAACATGAACAGGAGCCTTCCATGGCCACATTGTACTGTCTGTGACTCATCCAGAATCCTTAGGACAAGGACTCTCTGATCTGTGTGTTCTCCATCCTTGTCATGGACCCATCTCAGGGTTTGCCTTTATGCCAGTGGGGAGTAGCACAGTCAATAACAGGTCTGAGTTGGGACTAGATGTGCCATATATGTGTGAATGCACCTGTGCCTACTCTGCCCTCGTGCACATAGGGCATTTGCATGTGCTCACATGCTCATCCCTATCCCCTCACGTGCACACACATGTGCCTAACAATCAGGAGCACCTCTCGTTCCATGCATGTCTAGCAGATGGGTTTGGTCAGGTAATAGAAGCTGGCTTTTATTGAAACTAGCCTTTCCTCTCCTGAATATGTAGAACACAACTCTGACTCATTCCCCACAGCCAAACATGTTTATGTTCATTTTGAAAATGAGTGAAGCAGACACAAGAAAAACCTACTTTTACAGGAACAGCCTTATTGGAGCTCCCATAGTACTGTGTTGTTAAGGGGTCCTATGTACACTGTGTGGACTGAGTGACTCTGTACATTGGTCAGCCCCATGGGGAGAGGGTGGTTGTGTGTACCCTGGAAGCTCTTAAACCCCTACTTGACCAGCAGGCATTGTGGGTTCTGAGCAGGGCCATCTCAGAAAGGGGACTCAGCCATCCCCTGCTTTCTCCCATATCCCTCTTGGCAAGTTAGACCTCATAGGAATATGAACTTGAATGTGAGCTATTGACAATAAAATTTTGAGGGTGTGATGAGTAAGGGTATTTCAAAGTCCTTCCTTTGTATGGTGGTGACAATGGGAACTGGAACTTCACGTTAGGTTAGGTGCCCACGCAAGGATTTTCTCACTTTGTCATGGCCTCTGGAACACTGTTGGAACCTGTTCAGGCAGTCTGTGTGCCTGTCTATCCTTAGGCAGAGGCCAGGGGGTGAGAGAGCCTGTTTAGGTGCACATGTATGTAACTTAGTTAGGTACAGACCACAAGATGAGCTGCCACCACCAGGAATTCATTGGAAGGAGTCTCTGGAAGAAGAGGTAAAGTCAACCTGTGGGTTATGGGGCCCAGGGGATGGTGGGAATGGGTAGACTGGATGGTCCTAGACCCAATGGACTGTCCTTAGCCCTGGGCCTTAGGAACCATGCCACTCAGCTCTGGCCAACTAGAAGCCTCATAGATCAAGCTCTCTTAGGCCTCTACATCCACCTCTGACTTGGCTTTTTAGAGCATTGAGCACAGGGTGGACCTGAAGTGGGGTATCCCAGGCTTGATGTGATGAATTGCTGATCTGTCTGATGAGGAACAAGGACCCAACTTCATTACCTTTCCAGTTTCTACCACCCCTGTCTGGGGTTCAAGACTCTCTACATCTCACTTTAAACTCAAGTAATGCTTGATCCAAGTCAACCTTGAAGGGGGATCCCATTAGTGACAAAACCCATGCCCCAGGCCTGAGAAGAAATGGTTCCCAAGTCCCATATGGGCCTCGTCTCTGGAGTTGGGATGACAGGCTCCTAGCTGCCCCGGAAAGTTCTTGCATTCCACCCTTAGAACATACCCTCATGCCCATCAGATGGTTGTCTCTGTCCTGATACTGGGACCGCCCAGGGAAAGCATTCCAAATCCTGGCCATGAACTTCTCTGCCTGTCTGGGACTCTCCACTGGTCTCCTGAGAAAGGGACAGCCCAAAGGTGTAGCTTCTCTTGTTAGTGCCTAAGACCTAGCCCCAGTACTTAAGGACTCTCTGGAGACCTTTTCTGGAGATAATAAAGATCATTCTGTGTCCAAATCAAATATGAGTTGGTGTTCTTATATAAAGGGAATGGAGATACAGGTGCACACATAGGGAAAACAATTCGTGCGCACTGGGGTTCTGCTGCACCAGCCAAAAATGTACTGGGAGCCTGCAGAGGGAGCACAACCCTGCTGCCACCTTAATCTGGACATCCAGCTTCTAGAGCTCCAGACAAGCGTCTGCTTTTGTTGGGCATCAGTCAGTGGCAGAGTGCTTGCCTAGAACACACTAAGGCTCTAAATTCATTCATATCCCCACAAAGGAGGAGAACAAGTGGAGGGAGCATGATGGTGCAAGCCTGTAACCCGTTATTCCACAGGTAGGATGATCACTGAAAGTTCAAGGCCAGCCTGGGCTGCATATTGAGTTCCAGACCAGCAAGGTGAGACCCTGTCTCAAAAAACTAAAACCCAGCCAGCCGTGGTGGCGCACGCCTTTATTCCTAGCACTTGGGAGGCAGAGGTAGGTGGATCTCTGTGAGTTCAAAGCCAGCCTAGTCCACATAGTTTCAGGCTAGCTGGGGCTCCAGGGAGACCCTGTCTCAAAAAAGAACCCCTCCCCGAATCAACTCTTCCTTGCCCAGCAATGATCAGTTGCCAATAGTTCCTCATTGAAGTTGTGGCCTCCTACCCATTTCCCCAGTTCTATAGTAGTTTTGTCTGAGTTTTCTTTTGCATGCTGTCACCGTTGTTAAGTTCCTATTTCTAGGGATCAGGCTCAGATCCTCAAGCTTTCAAGGTAAGCACTTCACTGACTCGGCTTTTTCCAGCCCCACTTTACCTACCATACCGTGGGCAGACAACTATTCACTGTTGACATCTCAGGCCAGTGAGATGGCTCACCAGGTAAAAGTACTTGCAATGCAAACTTAATAACTACAGTTCAGTCCCTGGAACCCACAGTGAAAAGAGAATCAACCCCTGAAAGTTGTCCTCTGATCTCCAGTTGTGTGCCGTGGCACACACATGCCTTGCACTCATACATATACATCACACATTAAAAAAAATTAAGGTTGAAATCTGACTAGGAGTGTACCTCAGTGGTACACTGCTTGCCTAGCATGTGCAAGGCCCTGGATTTCATCCCCAGCACCACAAAAAAAAAAAAAAATAAATAAATAAATAAATATCCTCTGCCTCTCTGTGCTCTAGTTTTCTCTGTGGCACTTAGCAACATCTGATACTGTTTCTGTGTCTCATCACAGTGCCCCTTAGGAGGCACTGACCCTAGCTGTGACCAGATGACAGTATTGTTTCTTTGCCCCTGCTTATTTACACCCATACCTTGAAGCAAGGCTCTTATGTTGTAAGAAGCAGTGAAGAAAACTTGGTTTAGGTAAAGAAATAAGTCTACATAAGCAAGCAGGCACAACAAAAGAACATAAAGACATCCTCATGCTGGATGTGGTGGCACACGCCTTTAATCCCAGCACTCGGAGGCCCAGGCAGGCAGATCTCCGTGAGTTCAAGGCCAGCCTAATCTACATAGTGAGTTCCAGGCAGCTGGGGCTACAGTAGGGTGACCCTGTCTCAAAAAGACCACAAAGAAAAAGAAAGAAAGAAAGAAAATAGGCCTTGACATGTATGACGGAATGCATGAAATTCTGGAATTTCCATGGGTAGGCTTGGGGGGTGGCGCAGATAGGGAAGGGAGGCTAAATATGATGTATGAAATCCACAAAAATTCAATAAAACATTTTTAAAAATTTATGTGTATGGATGTTTTTCTTTCAAATATGTAAGGAACACCACATGTATGAAATGCCCATGGAAGCCAGAAGAGGGGGTCAGATCCGCTGGAACTGGAGTTCCTGAAGGTTGTTAGCTGCCATATGGGTGCTGGGAACCAAACTCTGGTCCTCTGCAAGAGCAGCCAGTGCTCTTTTTTTTTTTTTTTAATGACTGAGCCAACTCTGCAGTCCCCAAGAGTATATTTCATTTCTTAAAAACCTTATTGTAAACTGACAAGTACCAATTCTGTGTCAGTGTACTGAATTTTTACCGAGAAATTTTAATAAGCTTTTAAAAAATTCTTATATATTTTTATCTTACGTGTATGAGCGTATTGCCTGCTTGTGTGCAAATGCACCCAGTGCTGGAGGAGGTCAGAAGAGGGTACTGGGTCCCCTGGGATTGGAATTACAGTTGTTAGCTGCTATGTGGGTGCTGGAAATCAAAACTGAGTCTTCTACAAAAGCAGCCAGTGCTCTTAACCACTGAGCCATCTCTCCAGCCCCATAAGCTTTAATTATAGAGAATGTATATGTATCACCTTTAAATTTTTTTTTTTTTGGTCTTTTTGAGACAGTTCCAGCTGTCTTGGAACTCACTATGTAGACCAGGCTGGCCTCGAACTCACAGAGATCTGCCTGCCTCTGCCTCCCAGCTAATAAAAATAAAAATTTAAAAAGAAAATTTAGGGCTAGGCATGGTGGTGCATGCCTTTAATCCCAGCACTTGGGAGGCAGAGGCAGGCAGATCTTTGTGAGTTTAAGGCCATCCTGGTCTACATAGTGAATTCCGGGACAGCTGGGGCTACAGGGAGACAAAAAAAATTATTTTTTTATGTGTATGAGTGTATTGCCTATATGTGTGTAAGTGCACCCCTGTAATGCCCTCAGAGGTCAGAAGGTGGCATTGGATTCCCCTTAAAGTGGAGTTACAGACAGTTGTTAGCCACCGTGTAAGTGTTGGAAATTGAACCTGGGACCTCTGCAACAGCAGCCAGTACTCTTAATGGTTGAGCCATCTTTCCAGCTCCCTAAATTTTATCTTTTATCAACCTTTTTATGACATACTTTAACCTTCTAGTTTACCCCTTTCATTTTCCATTTGGGAAAAGTCCTTTACTTGAAGACAATCTTATTTTACCATACCAAAAAAAAATTTTTTTTTTGGTCTTTTTTTGAGACAAGAGTTTCCCTGTAAGCCCCAGCTGACCTGGAAACTATGTGTAGACTAAGCTGGCCTTGAACTCAGAAATCCACCTGCCTCTGCCTCCCAAGAGCTGGGATTAAAGGCTGGGCCACCACACCTGGCAGATACAAAACCTTACTATGAAATAAATTAACAATGTATCAACTTACTAGAAAGCATTGAATCCAAATTATATTTTTGACAATATAACAAAATAACAGCCTGGGTGGATGCACCGCCTTTAATCCCAGTACTAGGGAAGCAGAGGCAGGTGGAACTCTGTGAGATTGAGACCAGCTTGGTCTACATAATAAGTTCCAGGCTAGCTGGGGCTATCAGAAGACCCTTTCTCAAAGTAAATAAAGGGGTTCATTTGGGGGATCAACGAGATGTTAAGGCACTGCCACCAAGCCTGATGACTTGAGTTCAATCTCCAGGATCCACATGGTGTTTTAGACACACAAACATTTACACAAAACAATGATCAGTAATACATCTAATACAATTGCATTAAATCAGATTTTATTCTTAATAGAAATGAAACAAAATTTCTATTAAGTGAAAAGGTCAACAAGCAAAGACTTCTAGTTTTTTTTTGTTTTTTTTTTTTTGGTCTTTTTGAGACAAGTGTCCCAGCTGGCCTAGACTTGCTATATAGACCAGGCTGGCCTCGAACTCACAGGGATCTACCTGCCTCTGCCTCTGGAGTGCTGGGGTTAAAGGCATACGCCACCGCACCCAGCCTTTTTTTTTGGTCTTTTTGAGTTGCAGCCCCAGCTGGCCTGAAACTGGCCATGTAGACCAGGCTGGTCTTGATCCCACAGAGATCTACCTGTCTCTGCCTCCCAAGTGTTGGGATCAAAGGTGTGCACCACACCTAGCATCTTTTCCTGTTTTTAAGAACTAGTCAGGACAGAGAGAGAGAGAGAGAGAGAGAGAGAGAGAGAGAGAGAGAGAGAGAGAGAGCCCTAAAATCTAAAATGGAAAGTTCTAATTAATATGATAAAGTCACAAAATTTGATTTTTGAAGTTCTTTTTAAAAATATTTTTATTTTATGTGTATGCATGAATTGCCTGCATGTAGGTAAGTGTACCCGTGTAGAGCAATGCCCGAGGAGGACAGAAGAGGCTGTTAGATCCCCTGGAACTGGAGTTACGGACAGTTGTTAGCTGCCATGTGGGTGCTGGGATTTGAACCTGGGTCTTCTGCAAGAACAGTGTTCCTAACCGCTGAGCCATCTCTCCAGTCCCGGGTTTTGACGTTCTTTAGCAAATCCCAGAGTCCTGCTGACAACTCCATAATCAAAGTTTTTAGCCCAGATTTTTCCAGAGAATATCAAGTTTCTCTATCCTGTTTTATCATAAAAGAGGCCACATAAATCTTTTGGTATAGAATTAAAAAATGTTTATTTTATGTGTATGAATGTATTGCCTGCATGTATGTGAGTGCACTATGCCATGCAATGCCATGGAGGGAGGTCAGAAGAGGGCATCGGATTCCTTGGAGTTAAGGGTGGTTCATAGCCACCATGTGGGTGCTGGAAACCGAACATGGGTCCTCTGCAAGAGTCCTCTCAACCACTGAGCCATCTCTCCAGTCCCCAAATATTTATATTTTAAATATATATTTTTTATGTTTATGAGTGTTTCCCATGGATGTATGTATACACACACACACACACACACACACACACACACACACACACACATGCACTACAGGCATGCAATGTTTACAAGAGGCCAGAAGAGGATGTCGGATCCCCTGGAGCTGGATTTATGGATGGGTCTTAGACACTATGTGTGTTCTGGAAACAGGACCCAGATCCTTTGCAAGAGCAGCCAGTGTTTTTAACTGCTGAGCCATCTCTCTAGCCCCAATATTTATTACTTTTAATTTTGTGTGTGTATCTGTGATATTATGTGCACATTGTGAGTGCAGTGCCTGAGGAGGCCAGAAGAAGGCATCAGATCCCCTGGAATTGGAGTTAACAGTGGTTGTAAGCTGCCTGACATGGGTGCTAGATACCAAATTCAGCTCCTCTGCAAGAGCAGCACATACTTAACCTTTGAGTCATCTGTTCAGT